TCTCAGTTGGGCAGTTGGATGATTCGGGTCTTGATGTTAAATTTGGTCGTGGACAGTGGAAGGTGGTCAAAGGAAATCTTGTTGTTGCTCGTGGCAAGAAAAGGGGCTCGTTATATATGGTCGAGATACCTCCAGAAGGAGCAAGTCCAGTTTTTGTAAAAGAAAAGGTCCGGTTCAAAGAATCTCGTGTGCTAAAGAGGGTTACCTTTGCAAAGGAGAAACTCAGAGAAAGAGTACAGATTCAGGATGAACTAGCTCGGAAGGTTCAACCAGTCAGGGAATTTTGTGACAGTGGGAGCACAGGTCGTGCTTCAGTCCAAATCCGACAGTGGGTTAGAAAAACTAGTATTCCAACGTTGAATGTTTCTCCTGTTAACAATTTGCTTGGTTTGGAGAATGTAGGTTCTCAGTTTGTCTTAGAAGCCAGGAGAGTGATAGATGTGTCACACTCAGAGCTAGCAGAGAAAGAGAACGAGTCACGGGTTGTGACTGATGAGTTGAAGCTCAGTGGGAGCTTCAACGGGCCTTCAGATAACTGAAGAGAAGGCCGCTGCAACTAGTGGAAAATGAGGATTACAAGTGTTACAAATGATGAAGACTAAGGGGCGTTGTTCGAGCCTCCAAGTGGGAGATTGTTGGGCGAATTGAGTGTGGAGGCTCGACCAGGAAGGGCAGCCGGCCCTAGTCTTGGTTCGACCCATATGGCAGTAAATTAGGTTTTTAATTTTAGCCGGCCCTAATTCTCTATGTGGGCTTGGGCCAAACTTGGGGATTAAGTTTTCAACCCTAGTTTAGTCTTCATAAATAGGGATCTCTGTACTTGTAATTCTGTGAGCACCTGGATAATAAAAACCCTAGTTGCAAAGTGGATTAGGTCAGCCGACCGAACCACTATAAATCTTGTGTTCCGTGTTCTCCGTTTTGATTTCTATTTTGTGTGTGTTCTTGTTTGGTTGTGGTTTGCTATTCAGTATTCATAGATACCCCAACAATTTCCTCATAAGAAGATTGACAAACATGAAGGTATTGAACAAAATACATCACCACTGTGCTTTCTCTTTGGCATGCACGGGTAGTGCGAACTAATTTTGGACAACTAATTGACACGACAAATCTCATTTCACATACTCCAATTCATTGAGATTAAGGTTTTGATAATGATTGTGGAGATTAACCTGAGCAGCAAACCCAAATGAAATGAAATTAAGACAGTTCCCAAGAGCAAATAAAAGGATGCCTGGATCATAGGGTCAGAATTAGACATGATGATATATAGGAGTAATTTAGAAACACTAAAAACCAAAGGTTAAAGACATACCGAATCTCCAAGCTCGGAAATGTACTATGGGCTTCATTGTAACCTTTCCATTTGCTCCACCATTGTCTAACGTGGAATGCTTTATTCTCTGCAACAAATTAATCCCTCATTACAGCTTGCGTGGTCTATAGCTCAGTCAAAACAAAATGGATGAAATAACCACACGGTTTCTCATTACAGCTGGCATGGTCTGTTACTCGGTTACAATAAAATGGATGAAATAAGACGTGGAAAAGAAAATGAGGACATAATGCAGACACATCCATAAAACATCAAAGTCCTTTCGGACACATAAAAGGGAAAAGTATGAGGTACATTGTCGTGTGTGTTGTAAAATCCGGATGGGCACTCTTAACTTTACAAAATGTAGACAGGTTACAGGTTGATGCTTTTAAATTGAAAAAATGTAACATGATGGGTGGCGCACTGTAAATTCAGGTAAGACAAAGTAAAAGGAATTACATCATCGTGACCCAATTTGATAAGGTTGGTTCCAAAGTTGATGATAACGCTACCCAAAAGATTTATGCAGGCTCCAATAATCCACTCTCCCATTAGGTTGATTGCAATAACCAATCAAAGCTCAACGGCATACATCAAAAATGTTGCAGAGTCTTCTTGAAGGATCATGGCCGTACTACAGAGACCAACTAATAATAAGTAACCCCATCCAAAACTCTCCTTGTTGAACAAAAGTGTGGCGCTTGCTTGAGAGACGGATGAGGTCTGCAAATACATAGGGATAAGGACGGTTAATTAACCTCCAATGCATATTGCATGAACCCATGGATCTTGGCAGGCAAAAAAGTAAATGTAGGGTGCAAATGGTGATTCGTCATATATTGGACGCAATCAAATTGCATGCTAGAAATTGAGGAATAAAATTAAGCGCCCTAAAAGAACAGAAGGGATGGAGAAATTAGGCGAGATGTTGCCAAAAATTAAAACAAAAGCAGGCACAAATAACAACTGCGTAGAAATCTTCAGGCACAAACTCCGGCAATTTAGATACCCACGCAAAGTATGGTGTTTTAGACCTATAAATATATACATAGACAATCAGTAATCGCAGTCAATCGTGAAGCAAAGAAGGAGAAGAAGAAGCTCTACATTCGGCTGACGTAACACGTGATTTGGTAAAGCGTACAAAGTTGGCTCATGGGATTGCCATAGCTTCTGCTTCTGGGAGGAAATCGAAATCGAGACAATTAAGAGGTGTTTTTGGGATTTCAAACGTAATACTCATTTTGAAATACTCATTTTCAAACGTAATACTCATTTTGAAATACGTAATACTCATTTGCACACATTTGTACAATATTCATTTATTAATAACGTAATACTCATTCTAAAACCTAGTAATACTTATTCTCAAATAATCTAGTGCTCATTCTTAAATAACATATTATTCATAAAAATCCAAAATCTTACTAACCAAATTGGAATTAGAACATACAGAGTATTTAGAATTAGAGCTTTGCCTACCAGATCTGCGGATCGGAAGAGCTTCTTCATCGCCGATAGATTTATCAGATCTTCCTCCTTCCTCCCGACCGATTTTGCCCGAAACTGCAGCAGATCTCCTTCTTCATCGCCTCAGATCGATTTCTTCTTCCGCAGCTCTCCTTCGACGCAGCTTCCGACCCGACCCGACCCTCCTCTTTTCTCCTCCGATCGACGCATTTTCTTCTTTAATTTACCGGCTGTACCCAATTTTGGGTACAGCCGGTTGTACGGTATAATTTGCGGCCTTAGTCTTTTATTGGTCAATGCCATGCGGATGTACCACATACCCCCTTTGTACCGAGACAAATAGAGTACCCCCATTTTAAGTTAATTTTTTTTCGTACAGCAATAAATGAACTTAACACAGAGTATTATTAGGCCTACCTGGCAAGTTTTAAAGTGTATGCCATCTTTCATTTTCTATGCAAACACTTCATAAACTAGTTTTATCTTTAAATTATACAAATTAATCTTTATATTGTCCGGACAAGAATTATTTATTTCTCATATATCTCATTTATAAAATGCAAATATATAATGGTACAAATTTGATTTACAACTATTATATCTGTTGGAATTAATTGATTCGGGTTTTCTACCCAAAATATTAAGGATTTGTTTGAGAGTCTAGGAAAGAATTTGAAAAGAATATAAATAAAGATTTTTACGTAGAACTCAAATCCGGGAGAAAATCATGGGCCCTTTTCGGCCAAGACAAGTCAAAATGTGCTTTAGTGATATATTATTTGGTGTTACAAAAGCTAAAGTCATGAAAGGAAGCTTATCAAGCTCTCTTTCTCTCTCTCTCTAGAATACAATTGGGGGCAGAAGAGAAGAGAAAAATTCATCATCAACAACATATCATTCATTCTATTTATACCAGGGCCAACAAGGTCTGGCAACCCTTATGAGCTAGTACATGGGCCATGACGTCGGCCGAATAATTACTCTTTCTAGCTCTTTAGTCGGGCTCGAGGTCTGTCCATTGCTCTAGTGCATATGCTATTCGTTTATTCGAGCTCGGGACATACCACTCTGGTCGCGACAAGGCACTCTGGTCAGGACATGGTACTTTGGTCGGGACATGTCGGGACATGTCACTCTGGTCAAGGTGCCACTCTGACCAGACTTAGCCACGTGTCCATGCGGTTGTGCATACTCTCACTAGTCACTAGTCTCCGCAGGCCAGGTATGTGCAATGTTATGGGCTTGTCTAGAGGGCGTAATATATGTTTGGTCATTATCCCAAGAGTATCAAGAACGGTCTGCGGTTGGTTAGAGGTGCAAGAACGATCATGTGGGCACCTCTTTCGAAAGTAGTGAAGGCGACAAATGACTGCTTGGAGTTCAGCTTATCATTTGGTGGGCAATTTCTACCAGTTTGACTACCTAAGTAGCGGGTCAAGCAGCAGAAAAAATCCATAAAGCATTAAGCAGCAGAAGACGAACCAGAACAGGTTTTAAAAGTCACAATCTCATTACCATTTACCCAAAGGAAAAGAATTTGGCATGCACTCTAAAGTTTCGTTTCATATTTAAAAAAAGTGCAAGGAGAGTGCAAATGATTGAAATTACCACCGGAGTTGAAGCAAATGAGAGTACAAATACTGGTGAATCCACCATTAAATACTGGGATAACCAGCCCAAGAACCCACGAGCTCAAATCATCATAAAACTTCATTAAAATGGCCAAGGAAGCACCAAAATCACAATGGGATCCGACAACGAAAAGCCAGCAACACTTTACCTCCGAAAATGTTTCAGTATTTGTACTACTGGCTAATGAATGTGAATATCCAATTAAATCTAATCCATGAGATGAGCATTGAAGCTCATTTTGTTTTTGTTAGATGCTCTGGGAAGGAAGTAGCCCACAAACTTGCTAAAGCAGCTTGTTCCCATGCAAACTGAGCATTGGGGAGTGGATTAATACTCCACCCACAATGTGACCTGTATGACTTACATAATTTGAAATCTAGTCTTATTGACATGCACAAATGATGCTCGAATATATGCTTCACATAAAGTACCAACGCGAGCAGAGAAAGGTTTGAAAACATTAAGCATGCATACCTCTATCTTCATGAAAATTTAAAACAAAATCAGGTGAAATCCCTTAAGATTACACTTCAACAGAATATAAAACACATAGTATCTCATACATCTAGTGGCAATGAGGTTGGACAGTCAAGTTATCATCTTGATATGACATTTTACCCAAATATATCAGGGCTTCATATAGTTCTCATATATCTGTAATACGAATTTGACTGCAGATGAACAACGAGTAAAAACATCATCCATCATAAGTACTCTATCTACTAAGAGTGCAGTAGCAACAGCTGGGTGCCTATTTCTGTTTTAATATTAAAAAAACAAAAATTAAGAGTACAACGAGTAAATCAGTCTTAATTAAGCCTGCGTTCCAGTTAAGGCCTTCATCTGAATGTGATTCGGAGCGACGGGGTTTGCAGATGTAGGTAAGGCCTCATAGGAGCCAAGACGCCTTCCTATTGTGCCAGCAGAAATGGCGTAAATGATCGTCACAATGAGCAGCACCAAAAAGACGTGAATGACAAAGACAAAATCAAGGAGTGCAACAGCCCTGAGCTTGGAGTCCTCCAACTCACACTTGGTAGAGCCCTCCACACCACTGATGACATCCAACAGCTTGTGGCAGCCTTCCGGGATAAAGGCGTCAACATATAGGGAGAGACCAGTTTGGAATATCCAGAGGCCCTGAAGGCAAATGGAAGCAGCAAGGAGAAGTTCAGCCACAAAGAGCCTGGGATTGCAGGCAATGACGAGGGAGAGGATGGAGGAGAGGGCAAAAACGCGGGCAGAAACAGAGTCACATTCGGCCTGCAGGTCAGAGGTTTGGTAGGAGGAGGAGGACGATGACGAATAGAAGCAGAGATAGAAGAGAGCAGAGGCGAGGGCGAAGAAGATATCATCATGGGGTTCGGAGACGAGGAGAGGGAAGAGGGAGAGGAGGAGAAAGCAAAGAAGGATGGCGGCAGACTGGAGGGAGGAGAATCTGTGGACAGGGGTGTGGCCCTTGAGGAGGGGGTCGGAATCAAAGGAGACGATTGCTTGGTGGGCAGAGGCAATGAAGAGGGAGAGGATGGTGAGGTAGAGAGGGAGGCGGCGAAGGCGGGGGGACGGCGAGGGGAAGTTGGAAAGGTGGTGCAAGGGTTTGGCTGAGTATTCACGTGGGGACTTGAGGTGGGTGCGGGTGGCGGAGATGAGGTGGTAGAGACCCAGAGTGAAGACTCCGGAGGAGGAGAACATGTGGTATATGAAGCTTCCCATTTCTCCCCCTTTCTTCTCTTACTTCCTCAATTAATCTTCTTGCCGCTTAACACAACTGCTAGGGCACCCGCACAAACAATTACGCCAAATACATATGAAAAATATGATGGTTAGTGCCAAATACAGTAATTGATGAAGAAAAAACTCAGAACAGATCGCATCCGAAACTGAGATTATTGCAGAAAATCGATGAAGAAGAAGAAGAAGAAACAACACATACCCTTAGCCGAGGTTAGATAGAATGGCGTTAGAATCCGAAATCGAAATCGAGAAAATCGGCGTTTGTGGATCTACGCTAGCTTTATTGGTCTTCTCTTTCCCCTTCCTTATATTTCTTCATCAATTGAGAGAGGAAGCAATAGAATACTGTGGCCGGCTGAGATGGAGGTGTTTATACTTCATACCCGAGTAGAAGAAAGAAAACAAAAACAAAATGGGTAAAAGCAACGGAAAAAAAAAATGAAAAAGGATAAGGGGCTTGTTTTCTAGTTTCAACACCAACAAAATTATTGAACAAATTTTCAAGATTTTTTTAAGAGCAATTTTCAAGATTTTTTTACTTCATGAAGTGCAAAGAGTGACCTCCCATAAGGTTATTGGCAAAAAAAGGTTTCTCTCATACACTTTTTTACTCTTATATTTTATTTATTATGTCAACTTCATTATAGAATGGAGTACATGTTAATGCGACAGATTGAGTAAATAACTTTAAATACTTCATACAGATTTATTTTGAAGATTTAGTTTTCTTGATTAAAATTTATAAATCTTGACCAAATTTAACAAGTGAAATTAGTTTATACTTTAAAATCTAATGTTACAATATCATATCTTTATGCAGAGTCATATTTATTCACGTACAAATATAGAGAAGTTTTCTTAGTCTTTTATCCTTGCGCAAATATTCAAATGACAATTTAAAAAATTAAGAGAGATCTATAATTAAAAAAAAAGAAAAATGGACATATCAGTGAGACAAAACAAGACTTCAAAACAACTGGTTCTTAAAAGATTAAGAACATACCAAAGGTAGGAAAACCAAGAAGAAGATAATCCTTATTATCAACCCAAAAAGGGAAGCATTATGTATCACACACACTACGATAACAAGATTGGGCAATGTTACAAACCAAGGTGTAGGGTAGTACAATCAACAAAACCATCAACTTCTACCACTAATACATACCGAATATTTTTTTAAAAAAAAAAAGAAAGAAAGAAAACGTGTACCAAGCGCCAAAGCTCCCACAAAAGGGAAGAAAGGGCATAATCTAAACCACCCCTTGCTTTTTGCAAGCAGGNAGAGATTGCACTGCGTCAGTTGAGTATCAGGCCTGCCCTTCACTCCACCACCAATCGTAGAATAGGAACCTAAAGATAAACATAGCAAATTCTTGCTAGAATCAAAACGTCATTCCCCAAGAGGCGGCATGTACATTCGACCACCCCCTCATGTAGTTGTTCCAGAATCAAAAGCATGCTTTTTCCCGGGCTTGACTCCTGTGCCAAGAATCTTATGTAGTTATAAATAAATAATTTACTATAGAAGTCTAAGATGTGAGGTATCATTTAGTCTCTTTATCTGCCATCCCCTTTTCCATGAATGTTGTAACACGGTTACTGAGGAATCGTCTACACAGATCTTACTTGACATCATCGCACTGCACCCAAGAATCCCGGTGAGAAGACACTTGATCGGGATCGCATGGGTGAAGATGCCCACACAGGAAGAGGCCGAATGGGCACTCTTGGTATTTATGTCGCGAACTGGGGCGGTGTTGACCTGTACACGAGGGGACATCTCGTCATCAGCCTGATCTCCTGTTGAAGCAACGATCTGGAGCCTACTTTTGACAGACTTCTTTCTTCCGTGTCCTTGTCGCTGCTGCCGGTGGAGCAAATCTAAATGCTGAACAGAGTTTGTAAGGGGAGGGATATGAGTTGAGAAATCCTGGGTGTCGATCTGATCTGGTGGAGAGAAATCAGAACTGAACTTTTCAGGCAATGCCATAACAGCCCCGTTTAGGAACTGTACCATCCTATATTCAACCTGCCTTAATGATTCTCCTGATGGTGGGGAAAAATCAGGTTGGAACCGTTCCATTAAGCTGATTGTTTCAGGTGTAAATATCTCGGATCGATGGCACCCTTCCCAGTGTCCTTGACTCATTTCTAGAAGTGCATCAGAAGATTGTATCTCTTCCACTGAAAATTTCAGTTCCTGCATGATTTGAAGCATGGTCAGTTGTCAATAAAGACTGAAGACAAAAGGAATGAAGGTGCAATGGCTTGTAGCATACTACGTACCCCCTCCGTCCGGAATTAATTGTCCACTTTCTTGTTTCCATTTGTCTAGAATTAGTTGTCCACTTCCCATATTCAATAATGAGAAATTGTCTAAAATATCCTAGAGATAGCGCATAAGCATTGTTTACATGACCGAGTCACAAACTCATATGGAATATTTGACATTTTATACTTATTTCTTTGAAATGAGATCTTTTAAAAAGTGGAAAACTAATTCCGAACGGAGGGAGTGTAAAGAAAGCAAGTTTTTGTCAGTAGTCAGTACAAAGTGGAAACTAAAGATATGATGATTTAGCTAAGAACTTATCTCCAATTATAAGTTGGCCAAGAAAAGCTTCCATGAAGCAAAATCAAGTGAACAGACCAAGTGCCTTTAAATGATTTATTTCCATTATCAGTCCTTAGTGTTGTGAAAATTCACTCTTCATTATCAATTTAATCATAATGCTACCATGACTGTTGTGATAGTATCAAACCCGGTCCTCTGTTAAATATTCCGTCCAAGATCAGTTATTGTCAAGGGCTAAAATAGTAAAATGTAATCTCATTGCTGAGACTTCTTAGCAAACCCTGGTGAATAGTGATGTGAACAAATGTGCAGGTTGAGGTTCAGGAAAAGTTTCATCAGCTGTATGGCCACCCATCAATACATAAACCCAATTGTTATTCTCTTTGTCAAACTTCATACTACGTAATAACCTAACATATGTATAAATACATTGTCTCCGTGTATGTTTAATATTGTGTACATCACTGCAGGAACCTTATTTCTACAAGGACACATTTAGATATCCAAGTAGAGGCCAAAGAAATTCAGAACTAAAACCAACTCTCTCTGTCCATTTTTTATCTTCTCATTTCGAACGACGTGTAAAATCTCATCTTTTTAAAAATTACTTAATTTACAAATTAGTATATCAAAGAAAAAGTACAAATTACATTGTTCAAAACTACTCCGTACATCAAAAGTTCTACAAAATAAGATGTGACAAGAAGATTTAATCTCATCTAATGATTAATGAAAATAATCAAACAAACATAAGTTATCGAGAGGCCGTAATAGTAACCGGGAAGATGAAAAAATGGACGGAGGGATTAATCTCCTATTCTATGTGTTTGAGCAGGTTGTATTGCTTTGCCAGTGAGAAAACCCAAATTAATGTCAATTGTGCAGGACAAAATTGGGTAATAAAAAGCAGGAATCATATGAATCCAGCCAAAGCAGACTCATGTCAACTACATCATTGGAAAATACACACTGTGAAGAAAGAAGTCAAACATCATGAAACTACTTAGGGTATGATACAACGCATATCATCACCACTAGCTTCCATTTCATCAAACTAAATTGTGAACAAGGCAATGTATTGAGGGGGGAGGAGTTTACCTGGCATACGGAAGCAGCAGTTGCACGGGCACGGTCGAGAGGCGAGGTATATACTGAAGTGAAGCGAACGCCTTGTGATTTGAGGAAAACCGCCAGAGCTCTGGATTGGCGCTTGCCCTTTGGGGTGAGGGCCGCATCCGGGCACCTGCCCCCGATCAAATCAGGCCTCAGATTCATGTGGCACTCGGCGTTGCAGATCAGGAAAAGCTCCGTGAGGAATCTGTCGTCGTCGACGGCTGCTGCTGCTGCGGAGCGGATAAAATCAGTGGGCGGTGGAGCGAGGACATTGAAAGGGTCCCACACTTTGATGGAGGGGCCCAGCCGCGGGGTGCCGAAAGCGGATGGCTGCGGGGAGAGAGGAGATGCGGAGGAATGGCAGGGCAGCATCTCCGGCTCTTGCCGGAGAACCTTCTTCGAGCCGCCACCGACGCCCGAATCTCGCATCCCAGCCTCCGTGTTGTGGTGGGCGCCACCTTCCTCGGCGGCCTCTTCTCCTCGGCCATGTTCTTCTTCGTCCTCTTCATCGTCGTCGTCGCCGGAGGAGGAGGAGGCAACATGCGCTGACTGTGAAGAGCCCATTCAATCAAGCGACCTGGTTCGAGCTAGTGAGGGATTCAATACCTTGGGAATGGCAGGCAAATCAGAGGACAGCGGCAATGCGGCAGGGAATAATCCCCCAAGCTGTGCACAATCAACAAGATCTGATGATGATGATGATGATAACGTGGGGGCAGGCGCGCTGTGCACAAAAGGTCCGTTCCGTCCAGCGTATAGTCTTTACTTTGTACCCCTGCAGAAGAAGGCCTTAAATTCCGGAGGCCAGAGAGCCAGAGTATGCCAATGAGTACTTTTTTAGTTTTTTATGTTTAAATTTAAACCCTCCGTCCCAAAAAATTTGTTACGTTTAGAAAAAACTGCGTCCCATAAAGTCTGTTACATTTCTATTAAAAAACCATTTTTACCCCTTACTTTTTCATACCCTACCTATCACATCATATCTTTTTTCTAATAATTTACCCATCACATCCTACTTTTACTCATCACATCAAGGATATTTTTGAAAAGTCAATACCAAAATAACTCTCCCTTAATTTCTCAAAAAGTCAAACCGTCCTATTCTTTTTGGGACGGAGGGAGTACTATTTTGAAAATATTTGTTTATATTCTGGATTTGTAGCTTTTTAATCTATTTGTAGTTCTTTTGATAATAAAGTAGTGGTTAGTCAATGTAACTTTCGACTATCGTTATGGGTCATTGAGTAACAGTCGGCTCTATGTCTTAAACATAGTAGTCAGGCTGCACACAAGTGACCTCCCTCTACCTCATCCCACCATGTGCGGGAGCATTTAAGGCACTAGAGTAACATTGTTTTTTAAGGGTAATGTTGATGATCTTGTTTAATTTCACTATTTTGAAAATGATAATTTATACTCCCTCCGTCCGGAAATAAAGTTTACGCTTCTAATTTTTCTCTGTTCGAAAATAAAGTTTACATTTCAATTTTTAACACACAAACTACCCTAAATACCCTCCCCATTTATTGGCTCCTTCTCTCTCAATTTTCCTCCTGCCCCTTCATCTTCTTCTTCTCTCTCTTCCCCTCTCTTTCCCCCTCCCCTTCTTCTTCTCTTTGGACTCCTCGTTGCCACCAGCCTCTGCCTCGTTGAACAAACA